CTATTTTGGCTGTTCAATAACACACGTGGAAACATGTAATCCAACTCAGTGAAATATCTGTCAAATTTGTGGCTTTACCAAGGACATGATTGTAGAGTGAGCTTTATCAGATTATTCTTTGTATTGGTTTAAATTACTGAATAGATTATTACTCCATTCATCAGTCAATCATAGATTGCAATTAAAACTACCAAGTGATTTCTTCTTAATTGAAAACTATTGTATAAAACATGTCTACCCAGAGAGGTAACATTCTATAAATATTATTAATTAATTTAGCTACAATCTTTTGAAGTATTAAATTATATATGTCAAGCAGTTAAAATGAATTTGAGAGTACAAGTAAGGCATAAAAATTTTCCAGGCAACATTTCAAATTTTTTAATTTACAGATATCCTACTTCTTATCTTAGGAGTTGGAATACTTGTCAGTTTTTTTTTGTTTGTTTGTTTGTTTCTGAAAGTTTTTGTCCATCTTCTTTCACTATGTAAATGCAATGTATAACAATTAATAATGCAAATTATTTTTGAATGCTGTTGGCTGAAAAATTGATTGACATTTGATATATTATCTTACTAAGAAATAACTTGACCCAAAATAACTTTTGTTTGCTTAAGCTCTTTTTTTAATGTATGAAAATTGAAGGTTATTTTTGTCATGATTGTGAACAGAATTATCTTGTGTTAAAACATATTCTTGAGTACTCTATTTGTATCTTTTATGCCCTGAAAAATTTAAAGTTAATCCAAATTGGCATGTTTAGAATATTCAAGGAAAAAAAAAACTACTCTTTTAAATTTTTTTTTGTAAATGGACCTTTATTTTTACTTATTTTATTTATATGTGGTGCAACGAATCGAACCCAGTGCCTCACATATGCTAGGCAAGTGCTCTACTATTTAGCCCCAACCCCAGTCCCAAATAACTACCTTTATTAAAATTTTTTAATTTTTTAGTTGTACATGGACACAATCTTTTTATTTTATTTTTATATGGTACTGAGGATTGAGTGCAGTGCATGGATGCTAGGTGAGCACTCTACCACTGAGCCACAACTCCAGTCCCCCAAATAACTACTTTTAATACCAACCTTTTAAATTTCATGAAGATTTGGGTAGGAAGAATAGTATACACTATAAGCATTGATAAAATTTTTAAAATTTATTTCTATAAAATGTAAATTGATGAGTATCTAAATCCAAGTTGGGTATGGTACATCAGTGTTAACTTTGGATGTTTCATGTTTTATATTTATGTTTTAATGTTCAAAACTCAATTAAAATATTAGTATTTGTCAGGCTTTTACAAAAGTAAATCCTAAATTACTAAACTTTGTCCATATGTACTCCTACTTTTGAAATCACTTGTCATATATTAAAAATTCCCTTAAAAAACCCACGGGGGGGGGGGAATCAATATGTTCGTGACTTCATCCTTGAGGCTGAGCTATCAGTCTATCTTATTCTAGTTCTGTGTGTCTCCCCCTCTTACCCATCCTGCTCAATAGACTCTGCTGTGATTTATTTCCCCAGAAGTATTGGCCGTGTGTTGACACAGTGGTGAAAAAAGGTGACAGCATTCCTCTAGATTGGTTTGAGCACCTCAATCAACAAGGGTTGAACCAACTGAGTCTTGAGCTGGGGTATGGGAATGAAAGGTCAGTGATGAGAACTTAAAAAATAGGAGAACATGGAAGGCAAATTATGTGTGTCCTCTATGAAACTGATGAATAATTTTTAATTAAAATTAAGTTATGGACAACTAATATGTGAGAGTTAAGTTAAGATGGCCAAGCATGATGACATGATATAGGACATGGCTATAGGTCAATGGCTAAAGACAGTTGACCACAAATTGTAACAGAAACACACTCACACACACCTGGGAGCTTGTGGTACTGAGGATTGAGCTCAGTGCATTCATGCTAGGTGAGCACTCTACCACTGAGCCACAACCCCAGCCCCCCAAAATAACTACTTTTAATGCCAGTCTTTTAAATTTCATGAAGATTTGCTTAACACAGCGAGAACATAGATAAGATTATTGGTGGAGAAGAAAGTAGCAGTAGACACCCAACACATTCTGGCTTAGCAGCACTGATCAGGAGGTTGTTGAGAGAATTAGGAAGAATAGGAAATAATGGTGGAAGGAGATGGCTGCTACTTTTGTGATTTAAAGTGGCTTTGGCAACCGAAGCAAGGTACGACTGAATATCTGATCTGTCAGACAGAGGGGTTTCTGAGAAAGGAAGACATCTCCCCTGGTAGGCTTCCCAATGTTGACTTATAAAATTATGTTAAATTAACTAGGAAAAAGGAGTTCTCCATAAAGAAGTGTTAACAGGGGAGAGACTGCTGCTATGTTTCATGAGTAAATGATTCCATAGGGATAGGAAAAAAATTTTAGAGAGAAAGCACAAAGAACTTAGAATCAAGATGAAATAAAAATTAAGGTGAAATGTGTCCTGGGTCCAGGAAGCAACAGGTGCTGAATCTGTGCTCTTTTGTGTTTGAATTTTTTACTATGGAAAGTGATGTTTGATCAGTGTGCTTTAGATCCCTCATTGTAGATTCCACATTCCTCTGCTGCCACTGTTGCTTTCTCCCCCAACCAGCATTGTGGTTCTTAATGTCACCACTTTTATGTTACCATTCCTTTAATGATGTCATGAATACCATGGATACTCTCTCTAGGTCAAGAAAAATAGGCATTTTATATAGAAACTATTGAATGAAATCTTGCTGGGAGCCATTAGCCAAGTAGGTATGACAATTTCCTTGCCAGCGTACCCCATGTTGCAGTGACATTGAATGTAGGTGACCTTGCTCAAGGACCAAGGCGGATTAGGGCGTTCCCGGTTTAGGTTCCAGGTTTAAGGTTTAAGATTATTCCTGCTGGGAATAGGGCGTATCCTGCTGCCTGAGTTCCCCTTGAGTTCTCACGGGATTCAGAGAGTATATTTTGGGAGATAGAAGCCCAGTGGAGGTGGATTTGGGCAGAGAACGTGGATTTCCCCAGAACGTGATTGTAGACGGCTGGTGTGAGTTCGGGAATAAAGAGTTGCTGTTTGAATCTACAAGCTGTGTGGTGGCTCCTGATTGTGTGCCCAGCCAGACTGCGGCATTTGTGCCCAGCCAGACTGCGGCAGATTCTTAAAATATATCTTTGCTACAAACATTGTGTAAATTTATGTTGCAGAATTAAGTTATTCCAGGTTCTATCATACTTTGATGTTTCCCAGGTGTGCTGCACAGTAACTGCATATGCTGCAGTATCTTTCCTACTTTACTTGATAACAAAGTAACAAATCAGTATTAGCAGACAGGCAGTGTGCTATTATCAGATTTCTCATTTGTACTCTTCCATCATAGGATATTTGTACTCTCAGAATGATTGTTTAATCTGTATTTTTGTAGGTTTTCTCATTTCTGAGACAAATCTATGGGAAGGTTGATCTTGGAGCAGTTTCCTCAGGATCCTGAAATACCAGGGATTTTGATGCCTGTGTTCTGGTACAATATCATCTGCACCAAAACTTTCCTCCATTCTCCCAGGGATCATTGATTTAGTTTTCATATTAAGAGACACTTTATTTTGCTCCCACCCTCCCTATTTCTGTTCCTCTTCCAGCTAGCTTGATCTACTTTTCTTTATATAGGGCCAGATATTTTGAAAATAGTATTTTGTGTATGAGTGTAATCATATAAAACACCTTTCAGTAACATCTATCAACCCAAGTTATGTATTCCCCCTTCCAACTCCACTATTGCTTGTTTTAATGCCTGAAAATATCCATTATGAGCAGATTCCAATATTTTTGAAGGACAACTGATGCTTTGACATGGAAATCCAACAGAATTGGAAGAAGATCAAACAAATCATAATTAGTTGCATGGAAGCCCATATTAAGGATCATGAAGAAAAGTAATGTATATAAAATTGTTTTGCATATTTCTCCTGAGTAATGTGTGTAAATAGTCATTTGATATAGGAAAGGCAACCACTTATTATTTATTCCAAGTCAATTTGTATATATTGTAATTCCATATCAAAACAAGGTATATATTCAGCTTTTCATTCAGACTCTTGTTTTAAATATTTATTAGGAAAATGTTCCCACTTGTACATGTATTTAGAGAATGGTTCATGAACCCATGAGTCCTTCGTCTGTGTATGGCAATTTTCAACCAATGGGCAGTTGCCATTCTTTTCAACTCCCACAGTCTGACTCCACCTCACCAAAACTAAAGAGCAAATCCAGTGCATTATATGGAGTCATACCCTAAACCAAACACTAATGCATTTTAACCCATACCCTGCTGTTCTTCTCCACCTTACTTTTCATAATTTAGCCACCCCATCTCTGCCCTTCTTTTCATTTTTTCTTTTAGTTGTGTTGCTCTGATGAATTGACTCTGCCAGAAGACATCCAATTAAAGGTCAGTGCTGCTTGCAACCAAGTCAAAGGGAGGAAACAGGACAACAGCACCTCCTGCCTTGCCCCATTGCCTCCAGTCATAAACCATGATGGCTGTGGGTGAGGCCCTGGTGCATATGAGGATCACTGTCCTACACCTCTGCCTGGGCATTTTGCTCTTCCTTTCTGGATGGGCCCAGATTGGTCACTCTCAACACCACAGCTTCCCAGAAGTAGTGATACCCTTGAGGATAAATGGCACCAATAGAGCCATGAGGCCCCCTAACTGGATCTCCTACAGTCTGCACTTTGGAGGCAAGAAACACATTGTCCACATGAAGGCCAAGAAACTTCTGGTGTCCAAACCCTTCTCTGTGTTCACCTACACAGACCAGGGTGCTCTGCTCGAGGACCACCCTTTTGTCCAGAGTGACTGCTACTATGATGGCTATGTGGAAGGGGACCCAGAATCCCTGGTTGCTCTTAGCACCTGTTTGGGGGGCTTTCAATGAGATCCATGACAATGTTTATGAAATCAAACCCAAAAGACTTTCTGCCACATTTGAACATCTGGTTTATAAGATGCACAGAGAGAAGACACAATTCCCACTCATGAGATGTGGACTAACAGAAGAAAAACTAGCACGACAACTGAAGCTCCAAAGGCGTGATAATTCCATTCTGAGGCAAAGTGGTTATGAAGGCTGGTGGACTCACACATGGTATCTTGAAACAGTTTTGATTATAGACTATCAGCGATTCCTTTATAAGCAAAGTAATGTTTCATTTGTTATACAAGAAGTATTTTTGCTTGTCAATAACATACATTCCCTGTTAAGTCCATTGGGTGTTGATTTGATTTTACTTGGAATTGAAGTCTGGAATGAAAAGAACTTTTTTGAAGTGAGTAACAACATATTTGGAACCCTGTATGAGTTTTGCAATTGGAAGAGAGACAACCTAGATTCTCGCATAAAACATGATCTTGCACATTTTTTGGTAAAACAAAATTTTGGTATGTATTTTGGCTTAGCCTATGCTTCAACAGTATGCATACCTGGTTTGGAATGTGGAGTGGATAGTTTCCCGGATGATGACCTGTATGAAGTCTCACTTACCATAGCACATGAGATGGGTCATAATCTGGGTATGTACCATGATGTATGGATATGTCAATGTGGGCAACGCCATTGTATAATGTCTGAAGAACGATCAGATGGCACAAGATTCAGCAACTGCAGTTATGCTCAAATGTGGGAAAACTTTAAATATATGAACTGTATGCTCAACGCACCAAAACAAGAGGACATCTTCAGGGGAACTGCCTGTGGGAATGGTGTGGTTGAAGAAGGAGAGGAGTGTGACTGTGGATCCCCAACTTTGTGTTCAAACCATCCATGTTGTTCGGAAAACTGCACTCTGAAATTTGGAGCTGAATGTGCTTCTGGGCTTTGTTGCGAAGACTGCCTTCTCTTGCCACCAGGTAAAGTGTGTAGAGAAAATGTCAGTGAGTGTGATCTTCCAGAGTGGTGCAATGGCACCTCACCTGAGTGTCCAGAAGATGTGTATGTGCGGGATGGGGTTCGTTGCATGGACAGTGGCTACTGCCATGAGAAGAGATGCAATGCACGTGATGAACAGTGTAGACAGATCTTTGGCAAAGAATCCAGGAGTGCACAGGAGAGTTGCTACACAGAAATGAACAGCCGAGGTGACCGCTTTGGTAACTGTGGTCTCGTTGGTGAAAACTATGTGAGGTGTAATAAATCAGATTTCCTCTGTGGAAGAGTTCAGTGTGAGAATGTGAAAGAAATTCCCTTTTTGAGAAGTCATACTACTGTGCATTGGATGGACTTCAATGGTGTGACCTGCTGGGGTACCGACTATCATTTTGGGATGACAGTACCAGATATTGGTGATGTGAAAGATGGCACAGAGTGTGGTGATGGACAAGTGTGCATACACCGGAAATGTGTCTCTATGTCATTGTGGGCAAGTGATTGTTCACCAGAGACCTGTGCTATGAAAGGGATCTGCAACAACAAACATCACTGCCATTGTGACCCTAACTGGGAGCCCTCAAACTGCACAGAAGAAGGCTATGGAGGGAGTGTTGACAGTGGTCCACCCCCTGCAAAAGAAGTGCAAGAATGGAGGGCGAGGAAGAGAACACCGCTTTTTATATTACTTTATTGGCTCTTGTTTATATGTTTGTGGCTTTTGATTTTAATTACAAAGAAAACACAGCTTAAGAAAAAAGAGGAAAATGTGCAGCCTTCACCTAAGAAGGAACAGTTGGGTGCTCAAACTTCACCTGAGATGAAAGAGTTGGGTGATCAAACTCCAACTGATATGGAACAGTTGGACAATAAAATTTCACCTGAGAATGAAGAATTGGATGATCAATCTTCACCTGAGCTGCAACAGCTGAGGGCTTCAACTTCAACTTTACCTGAGGCAGAGGAGCTCAATGTTTAAACTTTATGAGGAACAGAAAAACAAAATTTTGCAATTTTGGAAAATAAGCCGAATCCTCAATTAAATTCCCATCCATTAATATTAGTATCCTGGCAATAGAAATGTTATTGCAGATTTTAGAAAGCACTGACAGAAAGTTCAGATCATTTCAAGATCATAAAAATTCAGTATTTAATATATGTAATTCCTAGCTCATTCCCACTTTCCATTATTTCAAGCAATTTTAGTAGTTTGTTTTGTTATTTCTTTATATTAACTGTACTGGGGATTGAATTCAGAGCCTTGCACTCACTAGGCAAGCATTCTACCACCAAATACATCCCACCCTAGCGGTTTATATTTCATGGATATAGTTCTTTGTGTTTCTTTAGCAAAGGCCTACAGCATGGATGGGTCAAGTGTGTATGTGTGGGGGGTGATGCATGTGTACTCGACATCTCTCAATTCCAAACCACCTTCCCTTCTCATTCTGCTCTGTCACATGGAGAGAGGAAATTTACAAATCACACCCCTTTGCAGTCCTCCCTAGCCTTTTCTTCCCTTGGGGGAACCAGAGAGAGACTGGATACCTGTGGGAACTGCTTGAAGTTTGTATCAGCATCATATCAGAGTTTTCATCTAGGCTGCTGTAGTAGCTTTCAGTCTGCATGTTATTAAATATGATCAGCACCAGAGACACAGCAAAGCTACCAAACAGATCCTGAGTCCTGGTTCTCTGGGCCCTCTGCCAGATACCACAGCACAAAGCTGGCTGTAAAGTCCAAGAAGGGCAATAGCTGGGTCAAATGGTGGTTCCATTCCCAGCTTTCCCAGGAATGTCCATACTGCTTTCCAGATTGGCCACACCAGTTTGCAGTCCCACCAGCAATGTACAAGAGTACCCTTTTCCCCACATCCTCTCCAGCACTTGTTGTTGTTTGACTTCATAATGGCTGCCAATCTTACTGGAGTGAGATGGTATCTTAGGGTGGTTTTGATTTGCATTTCTCTGACTGCTAGAGATGGTGAGCATTTTTTCATGTACTTGTTGATTGATTGTATGTCCTCCTCTGAGAAGTGTCTGTTCAGGTCTTTGGCCCATTTGTTGATTGGGTTATTTGTTTTCTTATTGTTTAATTTTTTGAGTTCTTTGTATACTCTGGATATTAGGGCTCTATCTGAAGTGTGAGGAGTAAAAATTTGTTCCCATGATGTAGGCTCCCTATTTACCTCTTTTATTGTTTCTCTTGCTGAGAGAAAACTTTTCAGTTTAAGTAAGTCCCATTTGTTGATTTTTGTTATCAACTTTTGTGCTATGGGTGTCCTATTAAGGAATTTGGAGCCCGACCCTACAATATGTAGATCGTAGCCAACTTTTTCTTCTATCAGACGCAGAGTCTCTGATTTGATATCTAGCTCCTTGATCCACTTTGAGTTAACTTTTGTGCATGGCGAGAGGAGGGGATTCAGTTTCATTTTGTTGCATACTACTGGGATACTGCTACATCGATGTTCATAGCAGCACAATTCACAATTGCTAGACTGTGGAACCAACCCAGATGCCCTTCAATAGATGAATGGATAAAAAAAAATGTGGCATTTATACACCATGGAGTATTACGCAGCACTAAAAAATGACAAAATCATAGAATTTGCAGGGAAATGGATGGCACTAGAGCAGATTATGCTTAGTGAAGCTAGCCAATCCCTAAAAAACAAATACCAAATGTCTCCTTTGATATAATGAGAGCAACTAAGAACAGAGCAGGGAGGAAGAGCAGGAAGAAAAGATTAACATTAAACAGATACATGAGGTGGGATGGAAAGGGAGAGAAAAGGGAAATTGCATGGTAATGGAGGGAGACCCTCATTGTTATACAAAATTACATATAAGAGGTTGTGAGGGGAATGGGAAAATAAACAAGGAGAGATATGAATTACAGTGGATGGGGTAGAGAGAGAAGATGGGAGGGGAGGGAGGGGGGATGGTAGAGGATAGGAAAGGTAGCAGAATACAACAGTTACTAATATGGCATTATGTAAAAATGTGGATGTGTAACCGATGTGATTCTGCAATCTGTATTTGGGGTAAAATTGGGAGTTCATAACCAACTTGAATCTAATGTATGAAATATGATATGTCAAGAGCTTTATAATGTTTTGAACAACCAATAAAAAAAAATCTGGCTGTAACTCTCCTCAGAAGTTGGGGTCCTAGAACCATGTAATCTACTCCAAAGCTCTGAGTTTGAATATCCCTGACCTCTTTCCATTGATCTCCAGTCCTAATGGTGACAGCTATGCCTTCTACTTAGTAACTTGTGGTTACCTCAGGGGTGTGGTTTCTTATTTTGTGATTGAATTCTGAGGTCTATAAAACTTACCTTGGTATGATGAAGAACACAGGAAAGAGACATCAGAAGATTTGAATTTTTTCACCCATTCTCTTTATCCTCTTGAGAATATGATTTAAACTTAGGGAGAATGTCTTTGTAATCTCTAAACAGGACCAAAGCACTTGCCTCTCAACTCCTTTGCAACTTTGATTATAAAATAGGATAAGAAGATATTTATAATTATATATAGGATGTAATAAGTCTTGGTAAGTTTAATTTTTTCTGGGGAAAGAAGCCTAGAGAACTCCAATTAAGCCTTAAAAAACATACTTTGACATCATCAGAGAGCTGGGGAAGTTTAAACTGTAAGAAATTCTGAAGTGAGTTGAGAATCAACAGGCATTCTTTTCTCTGGAGAACTAGTGGATGCTGGATGTCAATTGAAGATGAGATCTGGCCCAGTGAGAGGAAGAGAAGCAGAACTCAAGTCCTCTGAGTTACTTCCCAGGGCTGCATTCATAAAGTAGATATTTGGAGGCTTGAACTTGTAATCAGTCCCATCAGCCATATTTCATGGAATTGTGGGTTACTGGTGAGCTTGTCTGAAATTTCTGAAAGGCGTACTTTCCTAAATCCATGTTATATTTTGGACACAAGACACAGTCAAGTGGCTTGTCTCAAGCACATTGAGTTTCTCCAGTAAGACACTTACTGGATTCTGGACTTTCATTTCACAGAAGGCTGAAGAGGTAGACTGTGAACATTTGGATGGTAGAGATTGATCCCCATAATCCTTCAAAGTTGAGCAGTTAGTGTCATGTACACTCCCAAGTGAAAGTCGAGCAGGCCCATATCTGAGCAGTGCTCTATAAGTAAAGATTAAGTTGGGAGCCATGCTTTCCTTCTCCCCTCATATATGCTTCCATCCTGACTCGCCTGCCACTCCCCTGATCCTTCCCCTATTCCATGAGCCAGTGCCTTCCCATTACTTCCTTCAGAGGTGGACCCTACTGTCTGAGACGTTTCAAGTCCTTCTATAGCCTCACACCATGAGCCCATTCACATCCATCTCAAAACTTTTTTTTTAAAGAGAGAGAGAGAGAGAGAGAGAGAGAGAGAGAGAGATTTTTTTAATATTTATTTTTCAGTTCTTGGCGGACACAACATCTTTGTTTGTATGTGGTGCTGAGGATCGAACCTGGGCCGCACGCATGCCAGGTGAGTGTGCTACCGCTTGAGCCACATCCCCAGCCCCCATCTCAAAACTTTTTGCAGAGCAGCTTTGATCATATTCTCCCATTAGCCTTGTTCTCCCCTCCAAGGATTTGAGCTGCTTTGGGATCCTGGCCTGAAGGCCGGAGGACAATTACCACACACCTTCTTCCATTTACCTAGTGCTCTTCTTCTTCATCCACATTCCGGACTCATTTGGGTACAAGTCTCCTCTCTAGAACTTAGATCTTGGCCCCGCACCAAGGTTCTCACCCATCCCTTCCCCTTGATGAGTTCACTCCAGCTTGCCATGGGGAACTCCCAATCCCTTCCCCTTGGCGAGTTCACTCTTGGATCTTGGTTCTCAGGTCCTCAGCAGAGGTCACGAAAGCCCTGGCCAGGCAACCAAGACACTCTATGGGCAAATCCCAGGACTAGGGAAGTAGTGGGTGACTCCCTTCTCAGTCCCAGACTCCAACTCACCATAGGGAACGCCCAAATCCCATCTGACTCAACTCTTGGCTGCCTCCTCACCCACTGAGCCTCACTCCATTTGGCTCCTGATCTAAACGCCCATAGACCAATTTAACCTTCTAATCTTCATGACTTTTGTGCAGGCTTTCTTCTTTCTCTACTCTAACCCTTCCCTTTGTTCATCTTGCTCACCTGCCCAGCTTCTACTTGCCACTAAAGCTCTGGATTCCTCCACAGACCCTACTTCTAGACAAGCAAGGGACCCAGAACTCTCCTATATTGTAAAACCCTAGGCAGCAATCTCCCTGGCTGAGGCCACACTGAAGCTAACATTAACAAAAGACAGACTGAGTAGACTTGATAGGAGCCCTAAGGGGGGGGAAAAGTGTCAATTTAACTTTCCCTTTGTCTACCAACATTGGCTGCAACCTCTCATTAAGGAGTCAAAGAAATTCACCTTTGGTGCCCCACTCACCATCCTGGCTCCCCAGAACCTAAAGGAACTCCTCATCTATAAGGGCTTACATTCCTTACCCCCCTGCTGCCTTTTATCTCTACGGGTTTCCCTGGTGGAAGATCCCAGTCTTACTTTCCACACGTGCTCACCTTTAAACCCTGCTACTTTCCCCCCTGCTCCTCACAATTCTTCTGTCTCTTCTCCTCTTACCCATTCATGCATTGAAACTCTGGAGGAGTTTCTTCCACATCCCTCCTATGTATAGGAAAGTCCCTTGCTTCAGGCAACATACACAGGGTTCACAGATGGCTCCTCCTTCTTTCAGGAGGGAGTTCATCAGCAGGATATGCTAATAGTCTCTCTAACCTCAGTTGTGGAAGTGGCTCCCCTCCCCAATAATACATCCAGTTGGCAGGCTGAACTTGTTGCCCTCATCAGAGCCTTCACTTTGGCAAAGGGAGGATTCCTCAACGTCTACAGTGATTCTAAATATGCTTTCCATATAATTCTCTCCCACTCTGTTATTTGGAAGGAGCCTGGAT